GCAAATATATGTAATTTTTGATTTTCTAAATTTTTGATTTTCAGCTTTTTGCATAATTTCGCGAAAAGAATTTTTGAACAATGAAAAAATTTCACCAAACATTGGAAAAAAGGGAGTATTTACACCTAAGTCAGTTTATAGTATAACCTTTGTTTTCTGAGAGCGAAAAGCAGGAAACAAAAATTTACCAAAATTCCATCACATTTAACGACTGGGCCCATTTTTTGTGATTTTTGGACGTTATAGTGATCCAATCTTCCCCATATTTCATATTTAGGTTTTTCTAATAAAAAAAGTGAGCACAAACTAAATTTCATCGAAATAGGATGAAATTTAATGTTTCCGCCCACAAGAGTAGAATTCGTGGCAATCATTCCATCTTTACCAAATTTCATAATTCCCTATTTCTAAGTAAACCTAGAGCACATGTCAAGTTTCAGTGAAATTGTTGCAGGTTTACTATTATTTCCACCTGCCTCCATATAGTCGAAACACTGTGCGTCCTCGTTCATTGTACAGAATGTCGAATCGTCTATCTGCTCAGCCAGATGTATTCCCCTACGATCATTTGACAGCCTTGAGTGCCAAAGATCGTGGTGCGCGTTAAAGTCACCATACGGTTTTCACCTCTGAGTAGCGCACCTATTTCAGGGTGATATCCTGCCGGACAGCTGGTGACAGGGGGTATGTATACGTTAAATATTCCGAGCTCAACATCGCCTGACCGGATAGCAATACCCTGACATTCTAGGATGGTATCCCTGCGGTCGATGTATGCTTCAATAAGACGATACTGCACGGTGTGGTGCGTGATGAACGCTAAACCTCCACCATTGTCTCGCTCGCGATCTCGACGATGCACGTTGTATCCGGCGCAATTCAACAGGGTTGAATTGCCGTGCAACTTCTTCTCTTGGACCGCAGCTATTAATATTCCATGCTTTCCCATAAAGACAGTTATCTCCTCGATCTTGCTCTGAAGTCCGTTACAGTTAATTGTAGCACCTTTGTGTGCCTTGGGAGACCGATTGTTATGTGTGGTGTTAAAGAGTTGTGTTGCCGCCGGCTCCCTGCTGTACGTGCTGCAAAAGGGGGTGCTGCCTTGTGGTGGTGGTTGGTGGCGTCGCGGGGGAGGGATGCGACTGGGCAGCACAGCAGGGGCCCACATAGTCACTCGTCCAATCTCGCGTGTTGCGAAGTCCTGAGCATGCCCCAAAGTGGCACCAGCCGAGGCAGGAGTTGCACTTGACTGATGTCACGTTACGGTATATTCTGGACTGACAAACAGAGAAGATCGTCGGAGGGACTAGGAGTTGCCGGCGGCGGTGTGTGGGTGCTATTGTGTTTGTTTGTGTGTCTATTGTTGTGTTGTGTTGGGGTGTGGGTGTGTTGATTGTATGCGGTCCGGGTGGGTGTGGTTTGCCGTGGAGGCGGTCCGGTTCGCACAGCATGGGGCCACGAACGACGTGGTCCATTGCCGGTGCGTACGTAGGCCCGAGCAGTTACGGAGGTGACTCCACCCGTCACAGGCATTGCACCTGACCGAGGTGGAGTTTGTATGCAGTCGTCTCTGGCATACGCAGCAGGTGTAAATTTCTGGCCCTGGGTTAGACTCTATACCAGCCCTGAGAAGAAGGGTACGGAGCAGATGTAGCTCTAGAATCGAGCAACGTTTGATGGATTTCGCCGACCTAAATGGGGTTAGATCGCCGAAACAACAGCCCTTGGTCGGGTAAAGCCCGCGTCATTCCGGTACGTAGAACCGGCTGTCGTGGGAATGTAGAACCGACTGTCGTGGACCACAAATGATGTGGTCCACTGCTGATGAGTCCGTAAGCCTGAGCAGACTCTGAGGTGATTCCACCCGTCGCATGCATTGCACTTGACTGAGGTGGAGTTGTGGTGTAGTCGTCTCTGGCATACACATCAGGTGTAGGTTTCTGGCCCTGGGTCTGACTCGATGCCAGCCCTGAGCAGAAGAATACGTAGTAAATGTAGCCCTATGGACGAACAACTTCTGAGATACTTCGCCGACCTAAACGGGGTTAGATCGCGAAACAACACCCCTTGTTCGGGTAAAACCCGAGTCATTCCGGTACGTAGAACCGGCGGTCGTGGGAATGAGGTTTCTAGTAGTGACCCTTGGTTGTTAAAAATGATTCGCTTTCGAAAACGACCCTTGGTCTTACGGAGGGCAGAATGTGGTTACCTCTACAAATTCGTTAGTTCGAAATTTGCTTCTGTTTATGGTGATTGGTCTGAAAGAAAAAAGGCTTAGAGTGAGAGGACAGATCCAATTTATTGGAGAAATACCATGATCATCCATTGGCAGGTCATATAGGCGTCAGGAAAACGTTCACTAGGGTTGCGCAAAAGTTTTATTGGCCGCAGATGAAGGCGGATGTAGCGAAATATGTGAGGAATTTAAAGTTTGTCAGCAGGTTAAGCCTGATAATTCATAGCCAGCTGGGGATATGGTCGAGAGGTCCAAGGCTGTCGAGCCTTGGGAAATGATTTGTGTATATCTCGTAAGGCCTTTGGTGAAGTCGACCCATGGCTACCGATATATTTTAACGGTAGTAGACTATTGTTTCGAAGTTTCCACTTTTGTACCTCTTACGGACTGCCACGGCGAAGGGCATCTGTAAGATTCTTGAGGATCAGAACTTTCTTTTGTTCGAAGTTCCTCTGTCGGTGGTCTGCGAAAGGAGTCACGAACTGTGGGGCCCTGCGGTGCGTATGGTACTCAAATCCAGTACACCGCCCACTACCACCCGCAGGCTAATCCGGTCGAAGGATAAACCAGATAATAAAAACTACGCTTAGAGCTTACGTTTCGGAGAATCAGCGATCATGGGATCAGTATTTAGCTAAGGCAGCGTGCTTGGAAGAGTTCATTGCGAAGTTAGCCAGGCAGTATAATCTTAGGAGACGGGATCTCCAGTATATGAAAGGAGAGTAAGTGTGGAAGAAAATTTTTGCTGTCGGATGCAACGAATTATTATGCTGGGAAGTTAGCACAAAGGTACTTATGTAGGGCCGTTTGTGATAAAAAGGAAGGTGTCGCCATGGACTTACATATGGTCTGGTGGACGACGCAGGCCGAGAAAAGGGAACTTGGAACGCTAAAGAATGGAGACCGTATATGGACCAGTAGGTCAACTTTTATGCAAAGGAAAGTTTCGCTTTAGTTTCAATGGGAAAGGGGCGGAGTTGTAGCGTACTGGCCGCAACAAAGTTTTCTTTTGTTATTCCTTCGTTTTACCCTTATTTCCTTTCCCTCTAACCGATAGTAGCGAACCCTACCTGCAACTAGTTTCGTTAATAATAGCTCAGCTTGAAGAGCAAGCAGCTGATTGTCGGTACCGATCAATAGTAAGTTTTTGTCTTATCGCGGCACTTTTGTTGTCCGCCGTATGATGGCCATGGGAAAGCTCATGATGTTTGTTTGTGTGCGCCGTGGTGGCGACCGGTCTTGCGCCCAATCCGTTTTTAAAATTAACGGGCCGGCGCCAATTGATCGGGCACAAACAACACCGGCATTGAGGCCCGGTGGTTTTGAGGATCGGCGCGTAGGTTGCGGCCCAACTTGTAGCTGCGCGACGGGGCAGAACCAAGTGAGCATTGATCAGGAAAACATGCCTATTGTGTGCGAACATAATTGTTGTTATCCCATCGTTCAATTCCTTTATGTGAGTATATTTGTTTATTTGGTTTGGCCCGTTGTATTGTTGTTGCGCACGGTAAATGCATCTAATTTGGTACATTAGGTTGGCCGGTTTTTGTAAACAAAAAGTAAGGCGACAAGGGAGATATAAAAAATGGATTGCAGAAATCAAAAGAGCATGTCCAACTTAGTAAATCTGCATCAAAATCCCAAAAATCTTGATTTTGGACATTCGACATCCGTTTTCTGAGACGACGATATATATTTCACAACGCTGTATTCTATAAGTTGGCCGATTGTAAAGAACGATGGGTGGAGTTTCAAAGAAAAACTGAATTATTTCCGAAACCTTGTATAAACGTATACATAATAAAAAATTATTAATTTCAAATTTTAAAGGAATATATTGTAAACACACATTCACTTAGGAATTCCATCAAACAAATCTCATATTTTATGTCCTAAAATACCAGCTGTTTATGCTTGAAGAAAATTAGTGTGTTTTGAATGAGAGGGCCGATTGATCAACCGATCTATACATACATATCGTCGTTTAAAGTACAAAACCGCGTATCGTCGTTCTGCAAAACCGCGTAACTGAAATATTTTGCCAAAAATTGAATTTGCTGACACAAGCTCTTGGGTCAAGCCTTATCCATTCGTCCTGAAATATACTAGCCAGAAATACGATTGCTTTATAAAAAAAAAAACCATTTTGAAATATAGTGTTTTTACTCTCTAGACAATAATTTAAGCAATCTAACATACGCGGTTTTGCATTATCTTGATACGACGATATGTATGTTCAGTTCCAGTCTTTCTTTGATAAAGTACAGACATTCATACATGCTAGTAGTACACAAAAAAGTTTTTATTTACCATGCGTGATACAGATTTGCTTTTAAATATAGTTTTGAATAGTTTAAAACGTAAAAGAGATTTCGAAGTCGATATACAATGCACTAAAAAGAGTATATCAGATAATTTATGTTGGTTGTTTGGGGGCATGAAGTGATTTCCTTTCTCAAAATCATGAAAGTACGATATGATGAATGTTACTAAACTATTGGCGAACATTTTATTTTCAAAGCACAACTTAAGAAAAGTGGTTCCTTTTATTGAATTCAAAGCAGTGACGGCCATCGATTTTATGAAATATGGGTCTATACTACCGTCAGCGATTTTTTTACATATTTTATGTTCTAATACCTTATATTTACTGATATATAAATTATTTGAATCTTCTAAAAATATGTAACCAATCGCTGAAAAATCAATATTATAAAGCAACCTTTCAATAGCTATGTCAATATTTTTTGGCGGTAACTGAAAAATTCTCTTTACTAATAGTTGCATTTTGGATCGAGGTGTGTCCATATTTTGATTCTTTGTACAGAGCTTATTGCTATATAACAAGCTTATATCACTCATAAATAGCTTCAAAATTGTTTCGATGGTAAAAACATGTTTATAGCCCTCAGCCGTAGCTAGAATTCTTGACGCGGTCCGTAGCGAAAACGCAATCTCATCCAGTTTAGCGCAATATTCTTTTAAGAACGCTCTGTGGTGGCCATATTTCTCCATTAATTCCTGCGTTAATTCTGCTCCTGACGTTTCAAAATAGCTATCTACGTACTCAGCGCATATCAAAATAGTTTCAACATCTTTATAAAGTAATGTTCCAGAATATTCAGTATCTAACCATCTTAATATTTTGAAGCAATCGCCGATTGCATCTCGATTTTCCGACAGTATAGCATTCTTTATCCAGGTATCCATCCCAATTTCTGCAATGAAACAAACAAAAATATATAAAAACAAGTAATTTTTAGCAAAAAAAAACCGACTTAAAAAAATATATATGGCCCAAAAGGCGGGCTGTTACATTACATTTTGGCTCATACTGATTTTTAAATACCGCTGAAACTCGCGAGAATACAATTTTCGGATAATTTTTCTTCTTGCATCTGAAAGCATAAGTATGTGGCATTATTTAATATATACAAAAATATATTGTAACTCCTGTGGTTTAGGAGTTATGAATGTTTCAACAGCGGACTGTTGATTACAATTTTTGGAAGTACTTTTTAAAGTTGCTTTATATTATTGAAAAAGTCTGCTCTCCTAATATAATGTTTTCAAAAGTTGGTACACAGTTTCCCAGCTTCAGGATGGCATTCAAGAACTACGTATTAATTGAACTGATAAAATTTATTTTGGGGTCAATATTTGTAAAAAATAGTCAGAATGGTACGTTACAGAAAAAGACTGTTACGTTACCTGTGCGATATACGTGTAGCGATAAGATTATAATTAGGTATTTTAATCGCCTCTAGGCAAAAACGATGTGCATCCAATTTATAAATTACAATATCTTGTAGTGTAACTGAAAGTCGACCATGCTTAACGTTTATAATTATTTAATTTATTCATAACAACAAGGGTTTCATATTTCAGTTGTTTGAATATTTTGAATATAGAACTCACGCTTTGTCAGGCACACGTGCCAAACCGTCAAACAAACTAACTTTAAGCTTCAATTTACTTATAATATTATATAAATACCCCAATATGTTAGGCTAAGAATTCAATTGTAAAAGAACCTACAAAGCGACATTGAGTTGCTCAGTAAAATAAATTCAATACAATTAAAACATAAATGAATTGTTTCATTCGATACATGGCGATCCTGCCAGCTTTTTGAAATTAATTTGCAAAAAAGCTATCCTGCCAACAGGTGCTTAGATTTCAATTGCACAGTGGCAGTCTAGTGCTTTGCTGCACAGATCAGCCTGAATCCTGGTTTGCTTGAATTGCAACATTTTAAAATTTAAAAAGC